CAGAAAGTCCTTCATTTTGGCTTATACATTTGTTCAAAGCTCAATCTTTAAGTACCAAGTCTTTACCAAAAGATTTCTATACAACAGGCTCCTCAAAGGCTGGCCCTCTGCTTTACATGCTAATGAAAGTGAGGTAATAAAAGACATACTAATAAAGGACAGAGGTTCTGTCCCTTGAACCAGAGCACTCTGCATGTCTCCTGTTAGGACACTTCTGCCTTATTCATCAGGGCCTAACTTTGCAAATAGCAGGCATGTAATACACGCTGGGTGGGTGGATAGAGGGAGAGAGGGAACCTGCCTGTAACTTCTAACTCTGTTCTCCAAATATATTCAAGGCATATGACTATGACTTCCCCTTCCCCGAATGGTAAGTACCTGGTATGTCCCAGGCTTCCAACCACCAGTGAGTACTAACTTTTCACTTTTACAGTAATCCCAACTCTTCATGATTTAAGCACATATTCACCAAAACTAAGTCCAGCTTTTTAATAGGCATTCTTCACCAAGAACTTCTATGAATTGTCAGGGGTGCTTGCTATTATAAACTGAATGTACGCAAGCCCCCCACTAGCTTGTGAATCCTATATAAGGTCATTTTCTACTTCGAAGTCCTGATGAGATGGAGACACGCTCAGCCTCCTCGCCTTCGCAAGCCCCCGTGCTCCCCGCTGGCATCAGCATCCTGCTCAGGAAGGCCCTCCTCCCCTCTGCCGGGTTCACCCTGGCTGTGCCCAACCCCACACGACTCCCGGAATTCATCACAGACCTCGAGTCGACCAATGACCGACCAGCCTTGACCACTGATCAAGGCAGGCTTCACTGAAGATGAAGAAACTACCACTGACTTGTATTTGGAGAACGTGCAGACTTTCGCTTTATCTACTGAGGTGAAATTAAACACCCTGAGCTCTGAGGAAGAAGTCACTGAGGCCACTGTTGATTATCACTCTCTTCCCACAGAGAACTTTTGGAGTAAAGATTGGAGTAAAGAACTTCGGAGTAAAGAAGATGTTATTGCTGGTTTTTCTAAAGAGCCTATGACTGAAGCCCCAGATGAGCCCAGCATCTTCATGGAAAGCAACAAGATTCTGAGCTTCTGAACAAGGTTACCTTTCCATTAAAGGAGTTTGAATAACTGTACAAGAATAGTGAGACATATGAGGATAAACAGAGTGGCAGGAATTGTACACAGACAGAAGAGGTGCCTCTCTTAACCATGCCCCCATTTAACATAGGCTCAGGGTTTATTTGAATTGAACAGCAACCAAAAGAAAGTCCTGATAAAATGGGGATTCACAGAAAATCAGAGCCACAGCCTTCAGGCTTTATCATGCTTCTGTTCCGTTGCTCTGAGCCAACCACTCAACCACCAGAATTCCAACCTCTCAAGCCACTGGCCTCCACTGTTCTCCTTTGATGCCCAAGACCAGCTACTTGCAAGGTTCCCACAGAGCCGTGTTGGGCCCCTAGTGACAGTTCTTTCCCTTCATTCCCAGAGGACAGGGCTTTCAAGAGGGTGAGAGAGCAAGTAAAGGGGTGCACCGCATGAAGGGTGAGCAATGAGGAAGCACACCTCACACCGTATCTTCCACCAGTGGTCCCTCTAACCACCAGGCCTCGTTGCCAGGTCTGGTCCACTCAGCCAGGTGTCTTCCTCACTTAAGAGTGATTTTCCCCCAGGAATCTGTATTCCTCTCCTCTAGCTAGGATAGCTCTGAGGACCCCTAGTCCATCAGACAGGCCCACACATGTCTGAACTGTAAATGAGGACAGGATTCATTTGGCTTCTTTCCCACAGGGCTCTCGAACCTCATGCAAAATAAGAGGTATGGATGGATATCTGCGTTCAGTGTTCCTGAACCTTCTGCAAAGGGCAATAATCCCACAAACACTCCAGGACACTTAAGGGGCAGCTTGCACGAAAACATCGCAGATCACCTCCACATGGAACATCACAAAGTCTCATTTCCAACCCAGTAGAAATACCCTGTGACAAGTCCTGAATGGGCACTGTATTAACTAGGGAGGGCTAAAGACTCACCAATGACTCTGTGACTTAAAAAAATACACAAGTGTGTCTCTTATGGAACAGTTCTACAATATGCTTTTCAGGCAGGCCTGCAGCTTGGCTCCATAGGGTCATTCAGGAACCCAGGTTGATGGTGGCTCTGCCATCTTCAGTGGGTGGCTTCCAAGGTCATTCTAGTCACCATCATACCACCCAGTAGGAAAGGGGGGAGAGATGTGAAGGAGTGGGTGGGCAATGTCCCACAAGTCAGCCCTGTTAGTGACACACACCCCTCCCCTTACATTCCTACGGTGAGAAACTGGTCACATGGCTATACCTAGCTGCAAAGGACACTAGGAAATGTAGTCCCTGGCAGAGCAGCCACAAGGCCAGCTGCACCTCTGTGACTCTGAAACAAGGGACAGCAAACTGTAGCCCAAGGGTCAAATCCTCAAGCCCCCACATTTTATAAACAAAGTTTTCCTGGAGCCCAGCCACATCCATTCATTTACATATCGTCTATGGTTGCTTACCAGCTACAAAGTCCGAGTTGAGCAGCTACAGCAGAGACCTTATAGCCTGCAAAGCCTAAAATATTTACTGTTTGGCCCTTTATAGAAAACATTTGTATCACTTTTTCTAGAAAAAAAGGAGAATGGATTCGGTGAGACAATTAGCAGTCTACACCTCCAAAATTTATCTCAGAAATTGCTATAAAGACACATGGCCAAAAACACTCCTGGAACCTTTTTTTTTTTTCTGGGTGGGGGGGGTCATACCAAAAGACTACAACAACTTCAGGACTGCTCAATTATGGACCATGCACACCACAAACTACAGTGTATCCCCCTTTAAAAGGAGAGAGGAAATTCAACATGTACTGATTGGAAAATATCCAAATATATTAACTTTAATAAGTAAAATGCAGAACAATACTTTTAGAGTGTTACCATTTTTGGGAAGAAAGAAACCCCAGAATTTAATACATAATGCTATATGCTTCCATGGGCATAAAAAAATTCCTGTAAGGATAGAAAAGGAACTGAAAACAGGTTGTTTCTGGGTAGGGAAATCAGAAAACTGAAGGTTAAGAATGGGAGGGAAGAGTACTTTTCACTATATACCTTTTTATATCTTTTGCATTTGTACAATGTGCATATGCCATCTATTTTTAAATAATTAAAAATTAAACTGAGAAAAACCACACACAAAAAACCGTTTGTCTTTACTTCCACTGCTAACAAACCCTTCCTCTGAAAGACATAATCACTTGTAAAAGCCACGGTAATACCCACAATCAGGTACAGTCAGTTTTATTGACCTGGGAGCCATTTTATATTGTGTATTTGCTTTCCCGTCAGATTCTCAGAGATACCTTATTTCTCTTATTTTCATAGTCAACTACAAATTCTATTTTAGTCCCCTGCTTTTCTTGAAAGTTCCTCTTTCCAAACAGCATTTATCAGTATTTATTCAGTTCTCTCACACATACTGAGTATAAAGAGAAGCAAACCTGACCTCAGAGAAAAATTAAGCACAGAGAGACAAAAGAAACAGTTCCTGATTAAATCAACAATTCTGAAGAAAAATCTTACAAGGGAGCTTACCTTTCAGTTAAAAATGACAGCGATCCAACTCACACAAACTGAAGAGAAAAAGGAACCCACTGGTTTGTATAACTGGCAAGTTCGAAATTGGAGTTGGTTTGAAGCAAAGAAAGATCCAGGCACTCAGAAATGTTCTTGGGGCTCCCACTCTGCTCGGGTGCCTTATGCAGGCAGGCCTTTCTTCTGTGGCAGTCAAGATACCCACCAGCAGCCCCAAACTCCCAGGGTCCCTAGCCCAGCAGTCCTGATGGACAGAGAATTATCCTCTCTTAATGTCCATACAGCAATTCCAGAGAACACTGTGACAGGCTATTCCTAGACTTGTCCAGGGGTGGGGTCTAAGCCTGGCCCAGTTTAGGCTACATGCCTCTATTTATGGGCCACTAGGACTATATACGATATATGATATACATAAAGAAGAGTTCCCCAAAGGGCACTGTAGGAGTGGTAGGTAGAAATAACAGATGTCCTCTATTGCTTCTAACAAGTCATGACAATAGCCACTGGATATGTTAACATAACCATAAACCTTGCTCATCACACTGGTTAGAAGTAGGGGGTTTTCAATTTCAAGGCAAGGTGGCTGGAAAGTTCAAACTTACACACACAAGATTGTCTGACTGGTCTGCACTAGACATAATTTTGAATACCAGATTGGGAACTGCTCATAAATTGGCAGGGGAAAAAAAACAAAAACAAAAAACAAAGCTCCAAAAAATGCAATTTGTAAATCAGATCACAATCCTTTGAGGTCTCTGAATTCCTTTTGCTCAGGGCAAAGTATTTCTGTGGTACAACCTGCCAAAATCTATCTTCTTTAGTGTAGTCACATACTTTTTAAATGACCATCTGAAACTCAACAAAGTTATCTAAGTTTAGGGTCTATATTTAACTCTAAATTATAAAAATAATTTAGGTTGTATTTGTATTCCTCTTACCAAAGTTGATTCACTTTCTCCCAGCATCTTCCAGGTCAGCCGAGCCAAATGGATATATGGTCTTTTCTTAGACTGACTAACTGACTGACTCCTGAGGAAATGACTGCAGGTGTCCCTCCAGAGCACAAGGCAGAGGATTTGAATGGAAGTTTTGGAGTAAGCAGAAGACTCATCTAAGAGCAAAAGTTTGCACAGCCCTGTTATAAGAAATCTGCTCATTTTTACAACAGAACCATGAAGGACGTGAATGAGAGCTAGTGCTATATGCTGGTTTAATGCCAAACATCTTTTATCTGGAATTATATGATGAAAGCCAAATTTCCAAAACATCTTCAGGAAGGAAGACTGATCAATGTATTTTAAAGCAATGGTTCCCATCTATAATTGAGACATTCTTGGGTATCCCAGATTATCAAAGAGGGGCACAAAATCTTCAAAACAAAATTAATTTAGGTCAATTTTATTTAAAAACATATATAAATAGGCCAAACAACACTTAAGCCTGAGAAGGCTGCAATCTTTGCTAAGAACAGAATGAATGGTCCAGAAAGACTAATACTTATTGCTGATTGAGCTCACAACGTCAGCCCTCTTCAGGCAGCAGCACAGTCACTAGCAAACATTTTACGGGCACCTTTTACGGGCATTAGAGATTCACAGAGCAACAGGCCACAGCCCTACCCTCAAGGAGCTTAGAGTATAGCTGGAGAGACATGAACCATCCAAAACACACACATTTATCATAACAAAAGCAATTACTGGCATAAGTCTTCACATTTTTTAACAAATGAGCAATAGGAATATCTGAGCAACTACATCAAGTTTCAACCTGACATACCAAAAAAAAATTGTTTCTATCTATTCTTTTGTTCACTTATGCTTCAACTCAATTGAATTAAAAGAGGAAAGCATAATTCCAAGCCAAATGTACCATCATAACGTTTGCTGTCTCAGATGAAGGGGTGGATTGTTCACGTCCTAGAATTTCTCCATGGCACTACATCCAGAGGTCAAGTTCAGTAGTTCTGACTGCCAAACCGATGTACAAATTCAGACAGTGAGTAGACGGCTCCCCATCCCACCTCAGGATCCATACTGATAAAATCATTCAGGTTCATTTTGGAATCTACAAAAATACATGAAAGAAATGTCCACTGAAAGCACAATTCTGGCTTAACAGCAATAAAACAACCCAGAAGACCAAAAGTAGGGAAAATTATTCAAATGTTTCATAAGGGGTCAATATCACTTCTCTGGTATTCTTGTCTCAAATGTATAACATCAATCTAATCATGACAAAACATCACACAAACCCAACCTGAGGGACACTATTCATAGTCAATGACCAGTACCCTTCAAAAGGGTAAAAGTTGTAAGGAAGAAAAAAAAAAATTGTCACAGATTGAAGGAGAATGAGATGAGGAGACATGACAACTACATGTAATATCCTGAGTTAGATTCTGGACCAGAAAACAGAAATAGGGGGAAAATTTACAAAATTTAAGTAAGGTCTATAAGTTAACAGTACTGTGTCAATATTTTCATACTGATTTATTATTTTCTTGATTTAGATAATTACACTATGGTTTTTCTCAGATCCCCCTGGAATCTGAGTAAGGGGTATATAGGAGCTCTCTGTACTGTTTTAACCAATTCCCTAGCAGTCTAAAGTTATTTCAAAATAAAAAGTTAAATGAAAAAATGCATAAATAAGCAAACTGCCAGTTTACTGGATACAGCTGCCAATTTATAGGAAATACAGAGGATACAAAACAGATACAATCAGCAAAATCCAGACCGTTTCTCCCAGATTCATTTCTTCAACAAATAAATTACAAGAAAAAAATTTAAAAAGAGTGGGACTAGGAATCTCTACATATTAAAAAAGACCCTAAAGAGACACATACCAACCAAGCACGACGGGGGGGCTTTATCTGGACCTTGATTCACATGAACAAACTACATGAAAAAAGATTATGACTTCATGAGATAACTGAGATAATCTCAACACTGACTACAGAAATATATGTTGATTTTAAAGAATTATTGTTAATTTTTTTAGATGTAATAATGGCATTGTGGTCATGTATTTTTTAAACTAATCCTTATATTTTACAGATTCGTACTGAAATATTTAGAGTTGAAAGGATATAATATCTGGAATTTGCTTCAACATAATACAAGAAGGGGGAAAGTGGATGGGATATAAGTGGATGGGCTATCAGCCATGAGCTGATAACTGCTGAAAGTCTAATACACTGTTCTGCCTAGTTTTGTATATGATTAAAATTTTCCATACTACAAATTTTTAAGTGTATACAGAGATGCTTCTACTCATCAAAGAACTGTTATGGGAACTGCACTTCCACCATAAACTGTCAGAAAAGTGGACAAAATATATTTAGCAACTGTTTCCAGACACCAAGACAATGGGCAACACACGACTGACTGCTAAGAAAAGAGAAACAAGGGCAGGAGCTGTAGGATCCCTCCAACTCACTGCCTGGAGGGCTGTTTCCAGACCACAGCACCAAGGCAGGGACACAAACAGCATGGGAGTTTCCCGTTGATGGGAAGACAGAGATCTAAGTTCAGGAGGGCCTGGCAGCTACATGTGAGGGACACAGTGTGGGAGAGGAGAGAACTACGCAGAGAGTGTCCCGGATTTCTGCAGAGGGAACTCACTCCTCTACCCCCAAGTCTTTGGTTAAGGACTAATCTCATGAGACCAGGAAAGAAGCACCGTAAAGCAGTGAGTCTAATAACTCCCAGAACTTCCATGGTCCCCACCAGCCAGGGTAGAGAGAACTCATAACACTTGGGCATTTGGTAGAATCCTCAGGAGGGTCACACCAGAGCAGTGGGGCTAAATTAGCCCTGGGTGAAAGGCTGCTTCGAACCTGCACTAAAAAAGCCTAAAACCAAGCCCTGAAAGGATCCAGCTGACCCCCAGGAATTTAAGTGCATGACAGAACCAAATCCAACACTGTTTTTAAAAGTACCTCAAATTCACAAAGCCCGGCACCCAACCAAGTATTACGAATCACACAAAGAAACAGAAAAATATGACTCAACGCCAGGAGAAAAATCAATCAACATTCACAGACAGAAATGACAGAGATAACAGAATCAGCAGACAAGGACCAGCTATTATAAACATGCTCCGTATACTCAAAAGGGTAGAGTAAAACATGAGCATGACAAAGAGGGAAATGGAAGATATTAAATCAGCCCCAAATGGAATGTCTAGAGATGAAAAAATAAAATATGTACAATAAAAAAAAAAAAGCACTGGATGGGATTAACAGCAAATTAGTTAATGAAGAAGAAAAGATCAATAAATTTACAGACAAAATAATTATTCAAAATGAAGCACATACAGAAAAAGTCTGAAAAAAAATGAACATCACTGACCTGAGAGAAGTAACAAGCCATCTAACATACGTGTAGGGGAAGGACAAGAATTTTTTTTTAAAAGGGGGAGAGGTCAGAAAAAATATTTGAAGAGGTAATGGCCAAATGTTTCCAAATTCGATGAAAACTATAAATCCCCCAATCTAAGAATCTTAACAAACCTCAAGCTGAATAAGCCTAAAGAAAACTATGCTACAGTCCATCATAACCAAATTTCTGAAATCGAGAGATAAAGAGAAAAACCTTAAAAAGCAGCCAGAGCAGGGAAAAAACACACACTACATTTAGAGAAACAAACACAAGAACAATGGCAAGCTCCTTGATCAGAAACTAAGCAAGGAGAAAACAAGAGAGACACCTTTAAAAAACTGAAAGAAAAAACATGTAAAACTAGCATACATTACCCAACAAATATATCTTTCAAATATGAAGGTAAGCACTTAGGATACAGAAAACTAGAAACAGAGTCACTCCCACCCTTACAACAAGAAATGCTAGATAATCAGCAAAAGCAGGACTTCTGTTGAAGTCATCAGAGGGCCAGGGATGCACGATGACCAAGGAATCCAAAATAAAGGAAAAACAGGTGCCTCCCAGGAGAGATGGGGCAAAAGTTCTTGCTTAACTGGGGTAGATGCCAGACTCCATGTAAGTCAGCTAAAATCTTTAACAAATGGCTAAAGGAAACCTCAACTTCTGAAATACAACTGTATTCATTTTCTAGGGCTTTTTAATGTAAGTAAATAAAAGAGGATTACGATCTGCAAGCATTCATTACCTAATAACATATAAAAATAAAATAAGAATTTTTTTAATTTTTAAAGATCAATGTATAACAAATCAGCACTTGCCTATAATCTCCCCAAGAGGCACTACAACATTTCTGCTTACATAACACTGGTCCTCCAGCTGGGCTCAAATTAGCCAGTGTTACTATAACATGTCATCTGAGACAAGGAGATGAGAGGTAAATGCGGACAAAAGGCAGCAAAGGGCTCAGAAAGAGAAGGGGACAAATATGGTAGACCCTATAACTCAGCCCAAGACTTGGGAAATGTCCTTAAGAACTGAACCATCTGTGGCTGGTACTGGAACTGAGCCTTCAGAGCAAGGCTGCAAGACTGTGAATCTCCGTTTCCTTCTTTTTTCAGGGAGGGGAGAAAAAAAAAAAGAGTTCCTTTATTTAAAATACACTAAATGCTGAATTGAAAATAGTGGGCCTGCAGACACATGACCACCAAAATTATTAAATGTATAGGCTTAATTGTAATGTGCAACACATCAAATGTACTAAATTTTAAGCCCTAAAGGCCAATTCCATAACTAAATGCAGGGGACCAAGGAAAGCTGCTATGAAAAAAACAAAGCTGCATCAGTTTAAAGTTTGATGTCTTCTTGAACCATTTTTTTTCTTTTATAACCTTTTTTTTTTTTAATAAAGCAATACTAATTAGCTAAAGATAATTCCTCTGTCTCCTAACTTCAAATACATTCCTTTGATAAATACAGGGCTTGAAGTAATGGATTTACCACACGAGAGAACATGAACATGTGGTTAAATTACTACACGAGAAACCAGTATGTTTACCCCACATTCAGAGCAGATTCCTTTGAGTTCCAATATCAACCTCAGGAGGCCCCTGATGAGCTAGTTACATAGAAGGGGTTGGCACAAAGCCTGGCACCTTTGCCAGGCACCTCTTGGGAAGTAGTCATTAAAACCCAAAGGAACGACCGGGACTGACAAGGTGGTGTTTACTGAAGGTCCACCATGTGTCAGGCTCTGTGTTAGTGCTCACATGTAAAAGAGAAACAGAGAGCCGTGCAAGCATTGTCCAGACCACGCCGTGCAGCAGGGTGTGTGAGACTGAAAGCAAGACCCATGATGCCTTTTCCTGACCTAAGCTGTCCCAATTCTAATGCTGAGGCTGGGAACCAGGTTGGTGAACCCAAAGAAACTCCAGTATAAACTTTAAAAATCATGACAGCTTTTCACAGAGAGCCTCAAAATCAGAGCTGGAATCCTCTTTCAGTGTTCACTCACTTCAAATACACCAAATATATTTTTTACTTTCTCCCCTGCTGAA